GTGTGTGTGTGTGTGTGAGCGTGTGTGTGTGTGTGTGTGTGTGCGTGTGTGTACGTGCGTGCGAGAGTGCGTGAGGGTGCGTGCGAGCGTGTGTGTGTGTGTGTGTGTGTGTGTGTGTGTACGTGCGTGCGAGAGTGTACGTGATTGTACGTGCGTGCGTGTGTGTAGGTATGTGAGTGCGAGAATGTGCGTGTGTGGACGTGCGTGCGAGAGTGTGCGTGTGTGTAGGTGCGTACGAGAGTGTGCGTGTGTGTACGTGCGTGCGAGAGTGTACGTGATTGTACGTGCGTGCGTGAGTGTGCGTGTGTGTAGGTGCGTGAGTGCGAGAATGTGCGTGTGTGGACGTGCGTGCGTGAGTGTGCGTGTGTGTGTAGGTGCGTGCGAGAATGTGCGTGTGTGTACGTGCCTGCGAGAGTGTGCGTGTGTGTAGGTGAGTGCGCGTGAGTTCGAGAATGTGCGTGCGAGAGCATGCGTGTGTGTACGTGCGTGCGAGAGTGTACGGGATTGTACGTGCGTGCGAGAGTGTGCGTGTGTGTAGGTGCGTGAGTGCGAGAATGTGCGTGTGTGGACGTGCGTGCGAGAGTGCGTGTGTGTAGGTGCGTGCGTTCGAGAATGTACGTGTGTGTACGTGCGTGTGTGTACGTGCGTGCGTGAGTGTACGTGCGTGCGTGCGAGTATGTACGTGCGTGCGAGAGTGTGCGTGTGTGTACATGCGTGCGAGAGTGTGCGTGTGTGTACGTGCGTGCGAGAGTGTGCGTGTGTGTACGTGCGTGCGAGAGTGTGCGTGTGTGTAGGTGCGTGCGAGACTGTGCGTGAGTGTACGAGCGTGCGAGAGTGTGTGTGCGTGCGAGAGTGCGTGTGTGTACGTGCGTGCGAGAGTGTGCGTGTGTGTACGTGCGTACGAGAGTGTACGTGTGTGTAAGTTCGTGCGAGAGTGCGTGTGTGTACGTGCGTGCGAGACTGTGCGTGTGTGTCCGTGCGTGCGAGAGTGTGCGTGTGTGTACGTGTGTGCGAGAGTGTGCGTATGTGTAGGTGCGTGCGAGAGTGTGCGTGAGTGTACGAGCGTGCGAGAGTGTGTGTGCGTGCGAGAGTGCGTGTGTGTACGTGCGTGCAAAAGTGTGCGTGTGTAGCAGTATCAGTATATTTTTAGCTCATCTGACATAGTCAGATGCAGCTTGTAGAATCGCTTGATCGTCCGTCCGATCGTCCGATCGTCCGATCGTCCGATCGTCCGATCGTCCGATCGTCCGATCGTCCGTCCGTCAACAGTTGGGCACAAATCT